TCCAGGGGTCCTGGGGGGACCCGGCTGCAGGCCCGGCCGCTCACCCCGTTCCAGGGGTCCTGGGGGGACCCGGCTGCAGGCCAGGCCGCTCACCCCGTTCTAGGGGTCCTGGGGGGACCCGGCTGCAGGCCCGGCCACTCCAGCCGTGTGTCTGCGTCCTGCGCAGATGGACTCCTACCTGCTCTGCATGTCGTACCAGCAGCCCCAGCTCTGGGCCGGCGACAACCTGGGCCAGCTGCAAGTCTTCGCCAACCGCCATGGCTGCTTCCAGCTTGTCCGGGTGTGCCGGGACCCCAGCCCTTGCCTGTGCCGCCCGGGGGGCGGGGTGGCTTGGGAGTGACTTGCCTGTCCACTGACCGCCCCCTCCCCCACAGTCCTTCAATGTGGGCCATAAGTCGCACATCACAGGGATCAAACACTCTCTGGGAGCCTTGTACACCACGTCCATCGACAAGACCATCCGGGTGAGGACAGCACCCCACCCCGACCCCATCGCCCAGAGCCCCCCACCTGTTCACCTCTGACCCCTGCCCCTCCCAGGTCCACGTGCCCACGGACCCGCCCTGGACCATCTGCACCCGCAGCCACCACAGAGTCCTGAATGGGGTAAGCCCTGCCCCCAGCCCCCCCTCCAGCCCCCTGTCCCCAGCCTCCCCTGACTCCCGGGTCCCCACCCCCACCCCATCCAGATTTGTGCTGAGGGCAACGTGGTGGTGGCCGCCTCGGAGGACTCCTCGCTGGAGGTCTGGAGGCTGCAGGCCTGAGCAGGACCCCGTGGCTGTTGGTGTGCACTGCCCACCCAGGCAAGCCTGGCCTCTTCCTGGGGACCTCCCCCACTGGTGCTGCCTCTGCCCTGCCCCACAGGCCTGGGCACGGAGTCCCGGGCCTGGCTCGGTGGGTCCCGTGCTGGCCCCCACTTGGCCACCTCAGGGACCTGCCGCCCACCCTGCACCTTGTATGTCGTTTTGTGGAAAGGGTCTCACTGTGTAGCCAGGCTGCCTCCCGCTTGTGGCTCCTGGCCGCTGGGATGCCAGGTGGGTGCTACCGTGCCCGGCCGGGGCCCTGGTTCTGTTAGTGTTTGGAAACTCCTCTCTGGTGACGGTGAGGAGGAATAAACCTGTGGAGTGTACAGACTGGTGGCGTGTGGGTTTCCTCCTCCCCCAGCCCTGACCTGGGATGGGGGGCCCTTGGGGTGTGCCCTGGGGAACCCAGCGGAAGGAAGGTGAGCAGCAGCTGCTGCCCGTGTGACCCCCAGGTGTGTGTGGGGAGGGAGAGGGTGCAGGGAGGGGTGAGGCCCGTGTGTGCGAGCGTGAGTGCGTGCGAGCGTGCGGCTGCCCTGCCTGGGAACTGGCCGGGGTTGGGAGGGAAGGGAGTGGGGGTGGGGGGTCAGATCCCTTGTGCCCACAGTGGCCCTGTCCCCCCCTTACCCCCCTCTGCCCGCCCAGTCCAGGTGAGCCGCAAGGAGCAATCACGTGATGTTTATTGGAGGGTCCCCCGTTGCCAGGGAGTGGGGCTCAGAGAATGGCACAGGGCTTCTTCTCCTTGAAGGGGTTGGTGGCAGCCGGGATGCCCACCAGGAAGGGGTCACTTTTGGCCTGCTCCGTGCAGAACTGCAGCAGGTCGCGAGCTGCTTTGGACACCTGCAGACCCATCTGTCTGGTCAGCCAGGCCGCCCCCCATCCCCAAGCTGTGCCCCCTCTCCCTCCTCCCCTCCCCCCACCCTGCCCTCACCTTCACGCGGTCGATGCCCGCCTCCATCCGCAGCTGCTCCACCGCCCGGCGGGCCTGTCCAATGTCACTGCCGATTGCCACCTTGCTGGACATCTGGGGGGGTGGGGGTGGGAGGGGGCTGTGAGCAAGCCAGAGCCGCGGCCCTGCCTCCTGTGGGGGCCCAGGGTGACCAGCCAGGCTCACCTCGAACCTCCCTCTGCCGAGGACTCCTGAAGACGCCTGGCTGCCCGCTCCTCCCAGGCCCCGGCCACCCCGCTCCTCCGGCCCCCTCCCCCACAGCCTGGCCTCTCCAACCCCCACGGAGACTTTGAAGCCAGAGCCCAGTGAAATGTCACCAGCTGCCACAGCAGAGGGGGTCCCTGCCCTAGGAGGCCCAGTGGCTGCCCTGGTGTCACGTGTCCCCTGGGTCCCCTGGGGGTTGAACAACTTGGCTGAAGAAGCAAGAACACCCAGGCCTCGCATTAACCTGCTGGGTCCCCTGTTGACCATGCACACCCTGCTGCTGGCCCCCCCTCCCGCCCCCCAGCCTGGGCCGGGGACCTGGCCTGCCTCTCCTCTCCCTGTGGCAGTACACACTCTCTCACCCCCCAGGAGACTAGATTCTGCTTTTAAATCCTTAAATAAAATCTATCTTCTTGGGGCTGGGGTCTTTGGGTAAGGTCCTGGGTTCCATCCCCAGACCAGCAAAAGGAAAAAGAAACACGCCGAGCCAGGCACCTGTGGCTCACACCTGTCCTAGCAACTCAGGAAGTGAGATGTGCGGATCACAGCTCAACACTAGCTCGGGTAGAAAAGTCCATGAAACTCTCATTTCCAAGTAACTACCACAAAGCCAGAAATGAGTGGAACTGGGGCTCAGAACTATGCTCAAATGGTAGAATACTAGCTTTGATCAGAAAAGGCTAAGCAAGAGTATGAGGTCATGAGTTCAAGTCCCAGTACTGGGATTAAACAAAACAAAAGCCCCCAACAAAACCTTTCCACTAGCTGGGCAACAGTGGTTCACACCTGTCATCCTAGATACTCAGGAGGCTGAGATCTGGTGATTTCGGTTCAAAGGTGGGTGGAGGGGGGAGTCTGAGATTCTTATCTCCCTCCAATGAACCACTCAGAAAACTGGAAGTGGTGCTGTGGCTCAAGTGGTAGAGAGCTATCCTTAAGGGAAAACATTCAAGGATAGCAAGCCCATGATGAACCTGTCCCTTTCTCTCTCATTCACACACACACACACACAATGCTGGAGATTAATCCTGAGCCTCACTAGCATGGAGTCAACTACAGATTTTTAGCTGAGGGTGGAGCCATTTCCTGGAAGGCAGAAGGGGCAGGGTTAGCTGGAGGTTCAGTACTGGAAGGGGCAGGGTTAGCTGGAGGTTCAGTACTGGAAGGGGCAGGGTTAGCTGGAGGTTCAGT